TGTACTAATAAGGAGACACTTAAAAACATCTGGCTCATCTACTTGAACCAAGCTGAAAGGGAAGAGGGTTAGGAGTAGGGGATGGGGGGTGGGGTGGGGGCGTAAAGGGAAAAAGCAGACTCAGCCCAGGTATCTCTGAATAAGACCTCTGCCCCTGGCATCCTGGACAGACTGTTTCTTGATGCCGATGTAATCTTCCTTTATCTGGGAAGCTCTGGTATTCACATCTGAGGGTCTTCGTCACATATCTGTTTTCCTCCTTGGCTGAGAGGATAGGGAGAATTAAACTCCTGGTGGCTAAATGAGAGTGAAGGGAGGTGAATGTGAGGGAGAGGTGGGAGGCAATGGAAGATGGAGTCAGAAATGAAGAGCTTCATGTTTGAAATCACGGAGAAGTGCTGAGGCCCAGGCTGTGGTCGGACAGACTTGCGGCAGTGCCCAGGGGTACTCAGGGGACGAAGGAGGTTACCTCTGTGGGGTCACTGTGTCCGTGAAAAGCAGAAGGTGCATAGTGAGAGCAGGAGGTGATGGCTCAGGTAAACATTGAGAGGCAGAAAGCACTAAGTTAGAGCAACAGTGTGAGGAGCCCAGCCACACAGTGGCTAGAACTTCTTATTCTCTGCTACTGTTTCCCTCCCTTTGCAGGGAAATGGAAAGTCGGGGTACTAATAAAAGGCAGTCTGTGCTTTCATCAGATCTGTTTTGAATGCAGTTGTCCAAATGTTTAAAAAGGAGAAAGAAAGAAAACCACTTCCCCTGGCTATTTTCTGACTTGTAAATGTTGCTCTTGGAATTGACCAAAGGAAAAAAAATGTGAGCGCTGTATTTCCAAGTTGGTTCATGGTAACTAGGCCCTAAAGAGACTTAGAATACCTATGGGTTCTACAAGTGGAGCAAGAGAGGAGACATATACACACACAAATTACCGTACTTACTAGTGTCGTGCAAGTTTCCCCCGTTTCTCATTCATTCATTCAGTGATCATTACCTAATGCTGCCTCTGTGCCAGGAATTGTGTTGGGCTCTGGAAATGGAACCCGTAATAAATGAGTGAACAAAGAAGAAAATCTACATCTCTAGCTTGTGGGTGCCATGAAGAAATCCACAGGAGTAAGGGCAATGGGCAGAGAGGAGCACCCACAGGTAGAGAGATGGGCCAAGATCTTTCAGAGTCAGGGGCATCTGAGCTGAAATTTGATGAATGAAGGAGTTAGCCATGCAAACGGACTGCAGAAAGGCTTTCCAAGCAGGGAACAGAAAATAACACAGCGCCCTGGCCGGTTTGGCTCAGTGGATAGAGCGCCGACCTGGGGACTAAAAGGTCGGGGTTCAATTCAGGTCAAGGGCACACGCCCAAGTTGTGGGCTCGATCCCCAGTAGGGGGCGTGCAAGAGGCAGCCAATCAATGATTTTCTCTCATCATTGAGGTTTCTATCTCTCCCTCTTTCTCTCTGAAATCAATAAAAACATATTTAAAAAAGAAAAGAGCACAGGGTTTAAGGAAGGAAATCCTAAGGCAGTAACCAATAGTTTTCCACTTTGCTTCACATTTTCCTGTGGGTGTTACTTGGTGACCTCCTCAAGTATTTCTTCCGCTTTGGTAGAGTCACCCTACCCAGTATGAGAGCACCAGTGGTAGCATGCTGCCACTCTGAATGTTGAATGCTAGTCAGAGGAGATGAGGGTTAAATAAAAGGTGGCCACTGGGAGGGGTCACAGGAGTGGGGTATGAATTTTAAAGCTCTGTTACTATTTTGCAAGCTTGTAGCAGTCAAGTATGAATTTTAGCATCTGTATGCTGGTGAGCATCCTGATTCTGAAGCTGGCAAGCGACAACCAATCCCTCATGAAAAATAACTGTCTTAAGGGATGGCTGCATGAAGGAAAGCAAACCCCATAGGACTGTCCATTTTGACAGTTCGATGTCCGATTTGGGAGACGGTAAGCACTAATTGTGGTGCAACTTCAGAACAGTTTCTGATCAATTCTCAGTGAATACTGTTCACCAGTAACCTTCGTTTAGGGAATTTTTAAAAAATAAAAATAGATGTTTTATTTTAGAACTAGAGGCCCACTGCACAAAAATTTGTGCACTTGGGAGAGGGGATCCCTCTGCCCAGCCTGTGCCCTCTCACAGTCTGGGACCCCTCGGGGAATGTCCATCTGCTGGCTTAGGCCTGCTCCCCGGGGGATCAGCTCGGGAGCCCTCAGGGGATGTCCACTTGCCAGCGGGGAGCAGGCCTAAGTTGCAGTTGGACATCCTTCACGCTGCTGAGGAGGTGAGAGAGGCTCCTGCCACCATCCCTGTGCTGACAGCTGGCAGCCTGGCTTGTGGCTGAGCAGAACTCCCCTGTGGGAGTGCACTGACCACTAGGGGGCAGCTCATGCATTGAGCATCTGCCCCCTGGTGGTCAGTGTGTGTCATAGTCATTCTCAGTCATTCTGCTGTTTGGGTCAATTTGCATATTACCCTTTTATTATATAGGATAGTTTTAGGTTTGCAGAAAAGTTGCAAGGATAGTACAAAGAGTTCTCAGGTATTCCTTTGCCCCCTTTCTCCTATTATTGACATCTTATATTACTATGGTACATTTGTCACACCTATGGAGCCAACATTGGTGCATTACTGTGAACTAGACTAGACTTTTATTGGAATTCACTGTTTTCTCCATCAATGTTCTTTTTGTGCTCCTGGATCCTATCCAGGGTACCACACTGCGCATAATTGTCACATCTCCCCAGTCTCCTCGGGTCTGAGCCAGTTCCTCAGTTTTTCCGTGTTTATCATGACCTTCGTGGTCTTTAGGAGTACTGGATAGGCAACCTGTAGAATGTTCCCTAATTTGAGTTTGTCTGATGTTTTTTCTTTTGGTTACAAAGAGGTTATAGGTTTGGGGGAAGAACACCCCAAGAGTTGAAGTGCCCTTCTTGTTACATCATATCAGGGGCACATGCTATCAACATGACATCTCTGGGGATGTTAATCTTGATCACATGGTTGCCAGTTTTATCCACTGTAGAGTTACTATTTTTCTCTTCAAGTAGTTTTTTTTTAATTAATTTTAAAATACAGAAGTAATAAATAAATGTCAAATAATTTTTCTCCATATAAAAATTGACATCACTGAAAAGTTAATACTTTAACTTTAATGAGAACTCAAATATTGGTTCCTATTCCACTTCCTCAGAGGTAAACATTGTTATTGCTCCCAGCCTTTTCAATACATTTACATTCATACATATGTCCCCATAAAAAAATAGAGAGAGGGTATGCCCTGGCTGGTGTTGCTCAGTGGTAGAACATCAGCCTGTGCTCTGAAGGGTCATGGGTTCGATTCCCAGTCAAGGGCACATACCTGGGTTGCAGGTTCACTCAGGGGAGCGTGTGGGAGGCAACCAGTCAATGTGTCTCTCTCACATGGATGTGTTCTCTTTCTCTCTCTGTGATATATATATTATAATCCAGTTTCTATATTAGCCACCTGTCATACCCTATGGATTTCTTTCTGTAACTTGCTTTTTTCACCCAACAATAGGTTTTAGAGACCTGTCTCTCCTATTCTCTTTAAATGCTGCATTATATTCTGTTGTATTCTGCAGATCACATATTGGTCCCTATTATGGATCCTTGTTGCCATTTTCCCCCCTGTTAGAAACCCTGCCTACTTATAGTAAACTTTCTTATACCTGCCTCCTTGTGCAATGTGTGTTTTATTAGAACAAATATTTAGAAATAAATTTTCTGGTTCACAGAATGTGCACATTCAAAACGTTTATAGGTCCTGTCAATGTGGTATACCATGTTCCCCAACCAGCAACTTATGAGGGAACCTGTTTCCCATGTCCATTTTAACGCAATGTTTATCTAAACATTAATAATGTTTGTAATGTTTTTATCACGGTTTGAACTGGCCATTACTTACCATTTGCATCAGAGACTGGCCACTCTTTTCTTCAATCACAGTTCTAATTCCAGACTTGCGTCAAAATCTGATCTGGGTTTGGATGATGAAGAAAAAACCATCAAATTTATTTATAATTGTTAATTGAAAATAATGTGTAACCAGAAAGAGAGAATTCTGGTCCAAATGAACTGCACTTTTTGGATATTCTAGGGGGGAAGGGGAAAAGGTAAGTAAAATAATTTAATTATAGTCCTGACCAGAAGAAATGACCCAGCTAGCCCTGTGAATCCTTCCAGATCTGTAATTCTGTTATATCGGGTTACTTGTGTCCAGTGTCATTCACCAAGAAAACACATGTTTACTAAAATCTTTATCTAGTGTACAAACATTAAGTGCTACTATTGACCATTGTATTTCTAAAGATATGGTTTAAAATGGTGCCTTTTCTTTAACTTTATGGAGCAGGGAAGTGGCAGAAAATACTACACCCTTTGCCTCTTCTTTTGCTTTTTCTCACTGGCCACACCAAGGAGGGAAGGGGTGACAGCCATTTCCCCATCTCTGCTACGCTCCCCTCCACCTCCAGAGACAATGTGATGTCATGGGTAAGTGATGTGCTCTCACAGAAGAGGTGTTGTCTACAGGAGCTCCAATGTGCAAGAAGTTCATGGAAACACAAAACAACCTTTTCCTGGTTTCCCTCATCGAATTTAATAGAACATTTAAAAACAAACACCCATTTCTTAAGGACAATAGTGCTATGTATTTATCATAGTAAATTTGTGAAATATAGAAAAGTTAAAGAAAGAAAATAAAAATCACCCATTATTTTATACTTAAATATAACCACGGTATGAACAGTTGGTGTATGTCCTTCTAGTCTTTTTATTCTGTGAATATACACAAGTAAGCTGCAGAGGCGTTGAGGAGAGGAGTACAGAATAGAATTACTTTCCCTCTTATTATTTCTTCCACTCCACGACCGCTGCCAACTTCCCAGAAGAAAATGAGATTTGCAATCAGTGGCAATCTCAGAACTGACAACATATGTGAACTCAACCATGCTGACAAATACCCAGTTTTGAGATCGAGCAGATGTCGAAGGATTTACCTCCCCAGGAAGACAGGATGAGCACAGGTGGTGTTGACGTTCTGTTTCTGGTCAGCCGTGCCGCCAATCTGCACTGTGGTCCAGTTCTTTTAGGGGAATACGCTCACAGACTTCGGCCTTTCCTAAGCAGTTTCCTTCTGGGCTGTGGTTGGTTCTGTTTTCCTGGAAGATGCTGGCCTTACTCACCCTGGCCTGTTGTGCCCCCTTCCTCTCTTCCTGGCAATCTGCTGGCCCAGCAGTACTTTTGTGGTTTGTTCAGTCTTTCCTTCGAGTTCTTTCACTGCAATTCATGTCACTTTCTGTTCTTTCCTATATAATTCTGGGTAATTTTAGGAACAGCTGAAAATGTCACAGTGCCATCAGAGAAAGGCTGCGGCTCTGAGCAGGCCCTCTGGAGCCACACACATTGGGCAATGCCGAACTGCAACACCAAAGTGCCATAGGCTGGGAGGCAAAGGGCTTCCCTAGAGCGCCTCTCACCCCAAATTCTGGGTCAAATAGCAACTGTCAAAGTTCATCTCCCTTCATGGAGTATGTACTTTCCTACAGATTAAAAAAACCACAACGGACATTCTCTTTATTTTGGGATAATGATCCTGTGTTTCTGTATTAAGGAACTGGGGTGTACCACAGCACCTTCCAAGGTCTTTCCGGTCCTAGGGTTGTGGGACGTTTACACAGAAATACACTGACATGTACACTAACCCGGAACAGACAGGACCTTCTACCCACAGACAGAGTGGGAAGCCACTTAATGCGACCCGGTTAGACAGCGTTCTCTCTCCCCTGCTCTTGCTAATATCCCTGTCCAAAATGTTCTTCCCACTGCCTGTCATAAAGACTGGAAGTTTATCTTTAGAGTATTGGGGATTGTGTTATTTTTGGCTGTTGGTCATAGTTAGGCCCAAAATAACAGAAGATTAAAGGATATGAAAATTTCTTACCCTCCCTCAAGTTAACATCCAGGAGTAGGCAGTACAGAGCTGGTGTGATGACTTTGCTCCATGGGGTCCTCAGGGACCCATGCTCCTTCTATCCCGGAGTTCCAACTAATGCACCTTCCATACTCAAGATCAACCCCTGGTCTGAGACGACGCTTCAGCTGTCACGTTCGTGTGCTAAGCAGCAGGATGGAGACGAGGGGTGGGGAAGCTGCCACTTCAGGGAAATGCCCAGAAGCTGCCATGTGGAACTTTCACGTTCATTCCATTGGTCAGCACTTAGTCACATAGCTACATCTAGCTGCAAGAGAGGCTTGGAAATGTCATCTTTATCTGGGTGGCCGTGTGCCAAGATAGATATTACATTACCATGGGAAAAGAAGAGAATGGATCTTGGGTAACAATCAGTAGTTTCTACCATTGTTGGAATTTTAAGAACCCAAAATTAGAATATAAGTAACCCAAAGGGCGGGGGGTGAGTGGAGGCTTCCAACCTCAGCCATTGCCACTCAATGTTATCAAGGGGATTGGTGTCACTATGAAAGATCACGGCTTCTGGGAATGGAGGTTGTGTCCGGAGACAGGCAGAGAGGGCCACTAAGAAAGGGGCTGCTCAGAGGGCCAGGGGCAGGACCATACACCAATATCACCTTCTTCCCAGTTTTCCTAGAGGCCCTGGGTGCATGGCCTCATCCTTCTTGACATCTCTGTACCTGTTCTTCAATAAATTTCCACCTTTGCTATTAAAAAAAGAGAAAGAAATAAGAGTACACCATGAATTCTATGATAGATCCTTCAGGGCTGGCTGACTGCTGGAACCCATGGGCAGGAGAGAACCCATGAGCACCTATTAGGTGCCAGGCACTAAGCTTTTATCCATCCTGTCATTTACTTCTCATAGCAACTTATTTTCCATTATCATGCCACCTTACAAATGCAAAAATAGGATGAAGACTTTAAGTGGTTAAATCATACACTAGCTAAAAAGTAGAAAGAGGAGTTTAACCCACTGATGTCTCTTAGCCTGGACCAAGTCTGGATTAGAGGTTCAAGGTTCCAAACATCTACTAGAGAAGTGTATCAATTCATCATAACCATGAAGGTTTACATGAAAAAGGGGGGTAGGGATGGCTGATATTTAAAAGCTGTGAATAGTTTTGTAAAAGAAAGACTAAATAATACTAAAATAGTGATCCCTAAGTATTTTAGAAATAGATTTTCATGTCAGGTTGAAATGGATGAAAATGCTTTTCTAGTTTTCATCTAAATGTGTCTTGGGTCATCAGACTTAATTTCGTGATGACTGATTGTTAATAATATTGCAAGTGTTTTTGTAATCCAACTAATGCCACTTTTTTGACAGAATGAAAACATGAAGAAAGATGACCTTTCCATGGAACAAACTGAAAATCGCCCAGCGCAAATAAGTCTCCATCAATGGGCTGGGGAGCCTGTCAAGCAGGAAACAGAGACTGGGTAAAGCTAAACCATTTCATTGTTGACTCACGGAGATGGGTTAAACACTGCAGGGAACACGGAGTGACGGACTGATGTGGAGGTTATATGTTAACGCTAAAATATTTGAAGCTGAAATAAAAACAAGACTGAAAGCAGGTAAACTGCTAAATTAGTGTTTCACTTTTAACAAGAGGGATTGCTAAGAGAAATGTCCTTTTATATTTATACATATAAAGTAATTACTTTATCTTCAGTGCAATTTTTATTTTTATTTATTTTTTAAATATATTTTATTGAATTTTTACAGAGAAGAAGGGAGAGGGATAGAGAGTTAGAAACATCGATGAGAGAGATCGATCAGCTGCCTCCTGCACACCCCCCAGTAGGGATGTGCCCTACTGCAACCAAGGTATATGTCCTTGACCGGAATCGAACCTGGGACCCTTCAGTCCGCAGGCCGACGCTCTATCCACTGAGCCAAACCGGTTCGGCTGGTGCAATTTTTAAAGAGTGGCTTTTATGAAACTCCCTTAAGTTAAGTAAAGTGACTTCAACTTGGTGTATATGAATTTTCCAGACCACTTTGAGATGAAAGGCATTAATTCCATATTTCTTGCCTGCTGCAGGTACAACTACGCAAGGGCCCTGCTCCTGCTGGGCCTGGATGATGGGACTGGGCCTAGTGATGAGGATCCTGCCCTACGGAGAGGGGCCTACCTGTCCTTTCTGTACCTGCGCCACCTGCGAATCAGGGAGCTGCAGGTCCGTGGACGCTGGTTTCAGGCGTCTGAAATGCTTGGTTGTCTGGAAGTGGGGCTTTCCTTCTGTTCCCGGAGCAACACATTTTTACACTTTGTTCTCTGTTCTGATTTGTCCATGGAATCGGGCTTTTCTGGGGGTGACGTGTTCCTTTTTCAGCAGTAGGATGGACCTGCCCACCTCCAGGGCCCCATTCGAAGTTTTGCTCTAGGCGTGGCCAGCCAAGGACCAAGTCCTGAGGCTGTTCTCTGTTTCAGCGCACCTGCTTAGGAATTCTGAACTACTTCAGATCTGTGGAGCGGACGCTGACGATCAACACTTCAGGCCTTACCTTGGTCGCAGGGAGCCTGGTCCCCACCACAGAAGAGAGTTCCTGGGTGAATACGGCAAAAGGAGGCCTGGGCACCTTGCAAGGCCTGAGAGCTCACCACTATGTCCACGGGACACCTGCCGAGCACAAGGTAAGGTGTTCTGCTACAATTTTTTCTTTCTCCATTATCCTGTCTCCCAAGCCCCCTTCTTCCAGGCACCTGCAATCAGTTAACTTGATGGAGTGACAGGTGGGGGTGTCTTATGGAAGGGATTTTTTTTTAAATGTGGTGAAAGGGGAAATGGATTTCTAACCGCAATAAAATGCTGGGTCCACTGGAGAGCAGGACACAGGCGGGGAGCACTCTAAACGCAGCCCTGGCGGGCACGATGCAAAGGAAAACCTTTCAGCTGCTGGTGTGTGGACTCTATGGTAGACAGAGCATGAGGGGCCCTTTCTGTTACCCTTGCCCGAAAGCCACATGTCCTTACAGAGCAGCCCTCCTGGGCATTATGAGGGGTACCTTTTTGCCTAGTGTCTGTTTTCCAAGCCCTACATGAAAAAAATAGATTAAAAAACAAAGGCAGAAAAATTTTTGAAAGAGCTGAACAATAAAGAATCTCTTATTCCTCCAAAAACCCATTTGCCTCTTGGTGCTTTTACTCTCTTGAGTGTATTTTATGTTGTCTACAAAGTTCATATTAAATCCCTTCCTTTGGGAGCAAAGTTGGAAATGCCTATGTTTTCTTGGACTATTGTAGATACTCTTGCATTACTTTCATCTCAATCTCTAGAAAGTTTATTCTTAAGGTAGGATTAAATATGAATTTTATCTTCTTAAAGATACTAGGTTGACAAATGTGGAAAATTAAATCTAGCTACCAAACCAAGTCATGTTCTAAGCTTGTATGAACCCTGACTTATACTTGACATGTCTGTAAGGGTGTGAAATCTTACGATCCCCTGTCATTAATATACAGAGTCTACGGTAGCACTTCCAAAAGAAATATAACACAAGCCACACATATAATTTAAAAATTTCTAGTACACCCATTAAGAAGTATAAATAGACATAAAATTAATTTTATTTTTAACATGAAATTAATTTTAATATAATGTATTTAACCCACTGTATCAAAAATAGAATCACCTTAACATATAATCAATAGAAAGAAGTTATTGATAAGATATACATTTTTTTGTACTAAGTCTTCAAAATCTGGTGTGTACCTTATATGTATAGCACATCTCAACACAGACAAGCCACATTTGAAGTGCTCAATAGCCACATGTGGTTAGAGGCTATTATATGGAACAGTTCAGCTCTAGATATTGAAAAACATTTTCTTAAAAAAAAAAAAAGAAAACATTTATTTTTTTCATCCAGTCGCCTACAGTCCAACTCAGTATTTAGGAGAGTTCTCTTTTTGTTCTCCTTTGCTAACAAATATCCCCCTCCCAGCCCCCTCACCATACACAGGCTTCACTTCATAGAAATGAAGGAGAAGAGGGGAGACAAATCCTATCCTGCCCCATTGACTGTAGGAGGAGCTTCTCAAGGGTAATGCAGTATTTCTTTCCTGTGCTGTCATAAATGTTAGAAACAACCGCATCCATAGAAGCTGCCAGCAACTACTACTTTAGCACAAGAATCTCAAGGAAGTAACCTTTACGGGGTCTTTAATAGGGTCATGTGGTTTGGTTGCACTCCGTGTGTGGCCTTGTCAGCTTTTAAACTAGAATGTCCAGATCTAACTATGTGATTCTTCCCTATGTAGGGGATGGGAGGCACAGATGCTAATTTGTTGGGTTGGTCTCACCAGGCCTAGGGCCAAGGCTACTGGGAACAAAATCATGGGGCTCACCAGCCTGGGGAGCTGACATTTATTCATCCACTCATTTATTCATTCCACAAATGTTCTGACCAATTAAAATACTAGGCATAGGGGATACAGCAGTGAACAAAACTAGCACAAATCCCTGCCGTTATGGGACTATTGAGTGGAAAGAGACATTAAATAAATAATATACAAAATGTCAGATGGCTTGGCACCAAAGCTTCCCAGACATCCTGGCCCCTTACAATTGGATGAGGCCTAGTGGTGAGCCTTGGCCAGGGAGCTGTAAGCAGTAATGACATGTGTCATTTCCAGTCCAGAGCATTTAGGAACTGGTTTATGACCCTCTCGCTCTATTCCCCTGCTGCATGACCTCCTGGTTCCTAGGTCGACACTCAACCACTAAGCCACACCGGCTGGGCTTGACTTACATTTTAACATTCATGCTACTGTATTGGGAATAGACTGACAGTACTTTAGAGTGGAAGCAGAGACTAGTTAGAAGGTTATTACATTTATCAAACTAGACACAGTCCTGACTGATTTGGCTCAGTGGATAGAGTGTCGGCCTGCGGACTGAAGGGTCCCAGGTTCGATTCCGGTCAAGGGCATGTACCTTAGTTGCAGGCACATCCCCAGTACGGGGTGTGCAGGGGGCAGCTGATCAATGTTTCTCTCTCATCGATGTTTCTAACTCTCTATCCCTCTCCCTTCTTCTCTGTAAAAAAAAATCAATAAAATATTAAAAAAACACACAAACTAGAGACAATGTCTGAGAAGACAGCATGGGGAGAAATAGTCAGATTCTGGATATATTTGAAGGTACAGCCAGTATGATTTCCAGGAAGAAGAGAGTGGAATGAGAGAGAAAAAGAGAAGTCAAAATTGATTCAAAAGTTTTGGCCTGAGCATCTGAAAGTTTGGAGTTGCCACCATCTGAGATGTGGTTGGAGCAGGTTTGTTGGAAATACCAGGATCTCAGTTTAGGACATGAAAATTCTTAGATGCTTCAGGCAGCAAAAGGATGTATAGTAAGTCCTCACTTATCATCCTCATTAGGCTTTATGACTTTAAGTGAAACTATCCTATATAATAAAAGGCTAATATGCAAATTGTCCATTCGGCCAGGAGTTTGACCAGGGGCAGGGCCAGCTAGCCAACTGTCTGCAGCCCTTCCCCCTGGCCGGCCCCACCCCTGATCACCCCCCCGCCATTGGTGGTGGGGCCAGCCCTCCAAACACCCGCATCCCCTCCCCTAACCCAGCCAGATTGGCCATGATAGAGGCTGGTCGGCCGGACTCCATCCATGATTGAATTTGTGCACTGGGCCTCTAGTGTTAATGAAACTAGTTTACCACAGGCTAATTGACAAAAACAAGAGTTAAATTAAGAATTTCATCAATGTCATAACAAAAGGATATCAACTGAAGACCTGCTGTATATATTTTTCACATACTAGGTATCTGATTAATGTTTATTGGACATTAACAGACTGGTTGAGAGTTCACAAAAAGACAATATACATAAAAGTGTCTTGTCAAGTATATCATGCTGTTCAAATGAAAAACAATTCGTTATGATAATAGTATACCCTGCAAGTAATAAAAGTTTTTTTAAGTATTTGAGATTATAGCCAATGGATTGAGTCATTCACCTAACAATTTTTTATGAAATTCTTAGATTATTATTAGCTGAAATTAATGCAAAGATGATTTAGAAAAAGCTAGTCAGAGAAATAGTGTCTACATTATCAGAACCTAAAATTCACATTAACAAGTGATGACAGCAACCAGTAGAGTGAAAAGAATGAATGATGGGACACCGATTTTCCTATAGTTACTGTACTCGAATAGTTATCTTGGCATCAGTTATTTTGCAGACTTACAACCATATGAATCATTCCAAAGGCCAGATTACTTCTTGCCCAAACAGGTAATTATTGTCTTCCCCTTCCTGCCACTCCTCTAAGCATAATATTGAAGAATCAATTTTCTTGACCGCTAAAACTTTATAAGAAGGGTCCTTCAAATGGCCAAGGAAGAAATTAAAATTAAAAGGAAATATGATAACAACTGAGTCATAACCCTGTACGAAATAATTTGGCCATCTGGTCTTCAAGGTGTCTCTCCACTGGACATAAGCATACATTTAAAAGACAGGAACTGCGAGAGGGAAGGAGAAGAAACCTGCATGTCCATAAAGGGCTTGAGCAATGAGATGGGGTGGGGAGAGCGGAAAAGGAGACCATTTAAACAGATGATGGCATTATAGTCAGTGTTTTAACACGTTTTGCTTTCCATCTGCTTCAGTACTTAATACAGGTAGTCATTTCTTTACATCTTATGAAATTTCCCTGTACAAGAATTTGGGAAAGGTAGATAAAGGAGAGCTCATTTTGCATAACAGATGATAGGTGCTAAATGCCGACAGAAGCCAACATGCTAGTTTATAAATCCAAACAAGTTGTTTAATTTTTGTATGTGGCATGTCATTTCTCAGCATCTTTTCTGTTTTCATTGGTGCCTATCATTCTATAAAAAACAGAACTTTGACTTTTGGAACTCTTAGCCATAGTAAGTTCCTAATTTTTAAAGTTTTATATCTAAAGACTAGCCAAAAGCAAAGTAAACAAAAATAACAACCTACTAGAGAAATGCTTAACTATGAAATATCCTTTAAATGGAACACGAACCACGGCTATTATTTAGAAATGCTCATCCTTTTACTTATTAAAAAAACTTCTAAGTTTCTGTTTGAATAATTAAGAACCTATAATTGAATGGGCAGCTCATTAAAGAGTAGTCTTCAGGGAAATGAAGTGTCATCATCTGGTGTACTTATAACAGCACATTAAATCTAATCATAGTAGCACGGGACCGAATGGACCCCTAGAGTACCCCTCAACCACCTTTCTGATATTGACAATTAACTATCCATGCTGATAATATTCTTCCCTGAATATGAAGGTTGCAGAGAAGTTCCCGTAGTTATACAATAGGCAATGCCACATACACAAACCAATTGACAGGTCTATTCAGAGATAGGATATGACTGCTTATTAAAATTTGTAAATCAATGGATTGTACCCAACAATCAATTACTTAGCTTATCAAACATTTTATGTTATACGAATGAATAGATGGGGGGTAAAATTTGGGGGGTAAAATATTGGGGACCATTGGTTCCATAGCTAAAATTATATAATCTCATATATATTAGCAAGTGTTGGAAAGGTTGTGGAGAAGTTGGAACCCTTGTGTACTAGTGGTGGGAATGTAAAATGGTGCAGTCATTGATGTAAAAGAATATGGTGATTCCTCAAAAGCATAAAAATAGAATTGCCATATGATCCAGAAATTCCATTTCTGAGTATATATCCAAAAGAATTGAAAGCCTGATCTCAAAGAAATATTTGTACCCCTATGTTTATAGAGCATTATTCACAATAGCCAAAAGATGGAAGCAACCCTAGTGCCCACTGAGGATGAACAAAGATCATATATATACACACAATGGAACGTCATTCAACCTTAAAAAGAAAGGAAAATCTAACACATGCACAACATGGACGAACCTTGAGAACATTATGCTAAGTGAAATAAGCCAGTCACAAGATGACAAACACTGTATGATTCCACTTACAGGTGGTATCTGGAGTCATCCAGCTGAGATGCTAAGTAGCATGGTGGTCCCAGGGTTGGGGAAGGCAAAGGGGGAGTTATTATTTAATAGGACAGAGTTTCAGTTCTGCAAGATAAAAAGAGCTCTGGCGATGGATGGTGGTGACAGGTGCATAACAATGTGAATGTACTTAACGCCACCCTAACTGTACACCTAAAAGTGGCTCAGATGGTAAATATGTTATGTGTATTTTATCATCTAGAAAATATATATATGTATATATATTTTAAAAGTAGGCCAAATGTTTTTAACCTTTTCTTTATTATTGCTGCCCCCCAAAGAACTCTTTTTAGATACTTTTCCCCGATGATCCTTTTCCAAAGAAATATTAATAGCAGAGATATGCCATATATGTGTACAGTATGTATGCCTTTGTTTTATACATTAAAAGAGTAAGATTTTTTTTGCCTCCCAGGAACTACTTTCCACCCTCATTGAGAATGCATGCATTAGGATGTAATGACATGAGATGAGAGTCTATTAGGACAAAACACAGTATTTCTGACTGGTATATGTGAGAATAAACAGTCATCTTTTCTGTCAAAGAACAGTTAAGGCAGCTGCCAGTTTGGCTCAGGTGACTTGGCAGCCGCCATGTTAGCCACATGACTTGCAGCTCCCCTGGGGGCCACCATCTTGAAATGGCAAAGGCCAACTCCTCCCTTTGAATTAGCCAATCGTGAAAGGCTGTGTGCATGAGCTCCAATCAAGAGTGAGGGACAGGTCACGTGCGTCAGGATTAAAAGGCCGAGCAGACCACCTCCTCAGTGTGCATGTGCTCCCAGACCATGTGCTGCACACCCTCCTGCAGGAGGAAAGATACTTGCCCTGCTGTCTGGCTCCTGAGTATGTTTTGTGTTCTACCAGGACCCCTGAATTTGGGGACTCGCCTTGTTTCTTATAGTATATATTAAAAGTACAAGTTGGGATCATGAGGTGATAGACTAAAAGAAGTCTCTACGCAAAAAGTATCAAAAATCATTCATCTATTCATCCATTCTCTTATTTACATACTAGAGGCCCGATACACGAAATTCGTGCAAGAGCCTTGGCCCTGGCCCTCGTCCACTGCGGCTTTGTCTGGAAGGAAGGATGTCCAGAAGGACATCTGGTTTAATTCGCATATTATGCTTTTATTGTATAGATTTTCTAAGCAATCATTATGTGTTAGGCCCTGTGCCAAACACTAAGGATACAATAATAAACAAAATTGGACATGTTGCTTAACCTCATAGTACTTATAACTCAGTGGGTGAGACAAATATTAGTCAAAAGTCACACAAAGAAATGTAAAACAGCAACCTCAGTAAATGCCTCAAAAGAGTGATAACTTGGTGCTGAGGAAGCCAGGAGGAGGTCCCTGTGAAAGTGATGATGAGCTGAGGTTGGAAGATGAAGGGTTTAACCAGGAAAATGGGGAGGGAGACCTTTCCATGGATAGGGATAGGCTGTGCAAAGGACCTATGGCCAAAGGGAGGGAGTATGGCACCCAACAGAACCCAAAAGAAGACATGAGTGGCTGGGACACCACGATCCACGTGGAAAATAAAGCACAATGAAACCAGCCCAAATGTCAATAGTTCCTCAACCTCTTCACTATTGACATTTTGGGCTTGATAACTCTTTGTTATGCGAGGTTGTCCTAAATATTCTAGGATGTTTAGTGGTATTCCTGGCCTCTAACCACTGGATATCAGTAGCACTTCCCCTCAAGTGTGACAGCCAAAAATGTCTCCAGACATGGTCAAACGTCCTCTGGGGAACAAAATCACATTTGGCTGAGAACCACTGGAGAGAAATAGACTATGTAGGCCCTGTTCAGATGTTTTGCTTTATTCTGTGAGCAATGGGATACCTTTTAGGGATATTAAAAGGAAGGAGGAGGGACAGTTAAAACTGCATTTCTCAAAGATCCTCTACCAGCAGTGAGTACAATGGAGGGGAGGGAAAGCCAGAGGAATGTGGATACAACAATTAGAGGCTAAACCAGTTTAGACGCTCCTAAACTAATCCTGGTGAAAGATAATAACAGCTTGGACAAGGTGGTGGGCGGTGGGATTGAGAGAAGTAGATGGATTTGAGAGATAGGAAGTAAAATCAACAGAACTTGGCGCTAAATTGGACATGCAGGGTGAGGCAGAACGACACATCAGGAGTGATTCACGCAAGAGGAAGTGGATGGGTGGTGCTGCTTACGAAAATGGGGATGCTGGAGATGGCCTAGGTTGGTGGGGAAAGATCACACAATTTGATCATGTTAAATTTGAGGGGCCTTTGAGATGCCCAGGGACAGATGCCGAATAAGTATTTGGATATGTGGGTCTGGAGCTCTAGAAAGTCTGGATTGGAAATATAAATTGGGGAGCAAATGTCTAGGGAAGGTTACGTCAGCTGTCAAAGTGTAATGTCTCTTGAGGAAGGAATATGGGAGGAAAAGATGAGGTCCTAGGACTAGGGCTTGAGTATGGCCGCTATTTAATGACCTGATAGAGGAAAATACACCTCAAGCACCAGAGAAGGGATGGCTGGAAAGTTGGCGAGATCAAGGAAAATGTGAAGTCCTGGGAGGCCAGGGAGAGCGTGAGTCAAGAAGCAGGAAGTGCTAAATTGTGTCAGATGCTCCCGAGAGATTATGTAAGTTAAAAAAGGAAGCCTGCTGGATGTGCAAAAAAGTCATTGGTGGTCGTGGTAAAAGGGGTTTGGGTGGCTTGATGGAGGTAGGCCCCAGATGGGAATGGGGGAGGAGTAGAAGGTAAGGGAATGGAGACAGTGAATACAGGGAACATCTTAGGAGGTTGGACCATGAGGAGGAAAGTCATAAGGTGGAACCTGGGGAAAGGTGTGAGGGTTTAAAATGAGGGACATGAGCATGTTTGAGTGTCAATTGGACAATATCTGGTTGAGTGGAGTTGGAAATCCAAGAAGGAGAAGGGATGCTTCAGAGGTGGGGAGGGCTGGGAAGGAAAAGACCTTGGAGAGGGGAGGAGAATCGTCCACTATAGTGCAGGAAGAAGCAGGAGAGGGGGGTGTGAATGTACTGTGTGTGTGTGTGTGTGTGTGTGTGTGTGTGTGTGTGTGTGTGTTGAGGGGGGGCGGGTGGTGAGGAGGGTCAGCACCTGTAACCTGCACGTAATCTATTTCCCCTTTGATAAACAGGATGACGTGCTCACCTTCAGCTCTTTTATCTGAACTCGTGGCCATGAGGCCCAGGCCCGGCCTGTACGTGATGAACCTTCTGGTGCCCAGTGGCTTTCTGGATATCATCCAGACCTTCTGCTTCTACATGTTGGCAGATAGTGAGAATCATGCACCTCCCCCCCACCCCTCACCGT